CGCTGTTGTCAGAGGCAGACACACAAAAAAGATTCCACACTGCTGAGCTCTGCAATGACGGCATTCTGGTGGTGGACACAGCATGCGTTGATTGGCGTGCTGTCGGGCTGACCCCGGGTGTCGATGCATGCTGTCTGACTGTGCCACTAGCTCCTTGCGACGACCTCCCCCTGCTTCCAACTCGTCTCCTCCTCCTCCCTGTCTCCCCATCTGAACTTTTCGCCCTGTTCTTCTTCTTGACGAGCGGGCACCCACGTGACATCCATGGACGCATCGTCATCATCAACCGCTTCACTTGTATCTGACAACTCAGCAAAGGAAGCAGCAGCGGGTACAACATCATCATCATCATCACACCGTACGTCCATGTGTGTAATGCTGCCTGCCTGAGACATATCCCTGGTATCTACATCCTCTGGCAATAATGGTTGCGCATCACTCATTTCTTCAAACGGATGTGTGAATAACTCCTCTGACATACCAACCGAAGTGGCTGTGGTGCTAGTTTTGGTGGTGGCGGCAGGCGGGTGAGTGGTATCTTGAGAGGTGCCTGAAGTTAAGCTGGAGGAGGATGGTGCGTCAAGGTTCTGAGCGGAGGCTGTAGAAGATTGGGTGTCCTGTGTTAGCCAGTCAACTATGTCCTCAGAACTTTTCAAGTTCAGGGTACGTGGCCTCTGAAAACTGGGCATTATTCTAGGGCCAAGGGAATCACAGCACCACGACCACGATGGCCCCTGCGGGGTGGCCTGCCTCTGCCTGTCATTTTTGTTGGGATTAGTGGTACTATGTGTGCAAGCTACTGTGAGACCAGATATGAGTGGCAATGTGCACTGGCACAGTTATTACTGAAACACAAGGCAGTAAGAGCCTGACACCCAGCTTGAAGATAACTAACTGCTATTCAATCTATAATAACAGTGGAAAAGTGTTTTGTTTTAAATACAAGCTTTTTGTGTCACTTACAGATCCCTAAGAAGTGGTGGCACTGAGGTCATAACATCCACTGTTGTTAGCGTAACACACACCAGCTTTAAGGACACTGAGCTGCTATTCAATCTATAACAGTGAAAAGTGTTTTTGTTTTAAAATCCAAGCTATTGTGACACCAGATCTAAGTGGGTGGCACTGACTGGAAATAGGCACAGTATGCACTGTGAGCCTGACACATAAGCTGGCAGCAGTGGCGAAGACAACTGGCTGCTATTCAATCTATAACAGTGAAAAAGTTTTTGTTTTAAATCCGAAGCTTTGTGTCACCAGGTCCAAGTGGTGGCACTGGTCACCGTATCCACTGTTAGCGTAACACACCCGCTTTAAGGACACTGACTGCTATTCAATCTATAACAGTGAAAAAAGTTTTTTTTTTTTTAAATACAAGCTTTGTGTCACCAGATCTAAGTGGTGGCACTGGTCACCCGTATCCACTGTTAGCGTAACACACCCGCTTTAAGGACACTGACTGCTATTCAATCTATAACAGTAAAAAAAGTTTTTTGTTTTTAAATCCAAGCTTTTGTGTCACAGGATCTAATTAGTGGCACTTGTCAGCGTATCCACTGTTAGCGTAACACACCCGCTTTAAGGACACTGACTGCTATTCAATCTATAACAGTGAAAAAGGGTGTTTTTTTTTTAAATCCAAGCTTTGTGTCACCAGATCCTAGTGGTTAACTGGTCAAACGTATCCACTGTTAGCGTAACACACCAGCTTTAAGGACACTGACTGCTATTCATCTCATAACGAGGTGAAAAGATTATTTTTTTTTAAATCAAGCTATTGTGACACCAAGATCTAATTAGTGGCACTGGTCAGCTGTCTATCCACTGTTAGCGTAACACACCCGCTTTAAGGACACTGACTGCTATTCAATCTATAACAGTGAAAAAAGTTTTTTGTTTTTAAATCAAGCTATTGTGACACCAGATGTAATTGGTGGCACTGACTGGGGAAATGGGCGCAGTATGCACTGTGAGCCTGACACAGAGCTGGCAGCAGCTGGCAGACAACTGACTGCTATTCAATCTATAACAGTGAAAAAAGTTTTTTGTTTTTAAATCCAAGCTATTGTGACACCAGATGTAATTGGTGGCACTGACTGGGGAAATGGGCACTGTGAGCCTGACACAGAAGCTGGCAGCAGTGGCAGACAACTAAGTGCATTTACATTACATAGAAAAAAAAAATCCAAAAAAAGCATACCCTTATCCCTAACCTAGCTATGCTTTTCCCTATCTTATGAACAGCAGCTACACTTTCCCTCCTCTTACTAAGCATGCAGCTTGAGAATGAATCTAAAATGGATGCTGTCCAGTAGGTGGGAGGGTCTGCTAGGGAGGCTGTGCTGCTAATTGGCTGGAATGTGTCTGCTGACTGTGAGGTACAGGGTCAAAGTTTACTCAATGATGACGAATAGGGGGCGGGTCGAACCGCGCATATGTTCGCCCGCCGTGGCGAACGCGAACATGCTATGTTCGCCGGGAACCGTTCCCGGCGAACCGTTCGGTACATCACTAGTTGGGACGTATCCACACTGTAAAAATGATGATCCTCCCACACATTTTATACCTATTCCGCACTCTTCCCATTACAATCCCTAACTTGCTCCTAAAGAAATTTCAGGCCATGATAAATGCTCATATATGGAAGAGAAAACCCCCCAGGATAGCGCAAAACTCACTATGGCGCCCGTTCACAAAAGGAGGACTGGGTGTTCCCAATATATCCCTTTACTATAAGGCGTCCCTGTTGGCCCAGGGCCTCACGATCCTTGAACGCCCCTCTCCCCCGATATGGCTGGCGTTGGAGAACGCCTGCACACCTAATGGCTCAATCCCACTATCCCTGTGGGCAGGGTCAAAACTTCCCAAAGCCACATCCTTGCTGCCCACCACAGTCGCGCTCTTTCATAACTGGAAGCAAACTACACCGCTCTTCTTACGAAATAACGACCTACTCCTAGCTGCCCCACTCCAAGCCCTGACTACAAGAACCTCAAACATACACTTAGACAACTGGCTTAAGCAGGGGATCACCCAAGTCCGTTCCCTATTGTCCGCTGAAGGCATTAAACCCTTCCCAGACCTGATCAGGGAATTCCATATCCCTTCACGGGAATTATTCTCCTACCTCAGATTAAAAAATATAATTCAGGAAAGCGGGATTAGCCTGAGGGAACCCGATCCTACACCGCCCTTCATCCACAAATGTATGGGCAAGCTTCCAAAAACTAAAGCACTATCTCTATGTTACAACACTCTATTGCTCCACGACAATCTGTCCAAACCATCGTATATGTCTAAATGGGAATCAGACCTAGGAAAACATTTTTCTAATGAATTATGGCATCGTGCCCAAAGATTAACCAAACAGGCGTCCCATAGCCTTAACCAATGGGAAACATACTGTAAATTAACAATGCGTTGGTATCTAGTCCCCACCAAATTGGCCCGTATCCACCCGGGCTCTGACGCAAGATGTTGGAGATGCCACAATGGCGAAGGATCCCTCTTTCATATATATTGGACATGTACGTCTATTATCACATTATGGCGGGATATACACGCTCTTCTGAACAAAATTCTGGGTGTGCGAATTCCCCAATCCCCAGAGTGCTTTCTACTACATATTTTTCCGAATACCCTTCCTATGGAAGCAATCCCTTTCGCGATTCATTGTCTCATGGCTACCAAAACTGCCATCGCACATAGATGGAAATCAACACTGACACCAACATTGCCAGAAATCCTCAGCAGGCTGGACTCATCCCATGCTTATGAACGTATGGCTAGCCGGCTGACAAATAGCCAAAGTAGGTATAAATCAAGATGGCAGAGTTGGGTGATCTACAGAGAGGGAGAGATGCACCAGGGGCCGTAGACCGGCCACTAATCCCATCTGGATTTCCCCCCCTCCTACTCCATGGGCTCATATAGCTGCACCCCTACTACTAAACCAGAATGCTTTAATGTATGTTCACTTTTAATATGTAATATGATGATCAAATGTTAACTGTACTGCCAATAATGTCCTCTTACCACGGATTTTTAGACAAACGGCACTGTTAGTTGAACCGTATTGTATTACACTGTACTGTACTGAATGATATGTGGAACTTATACAAGCTGCTTTTTCCCCCCCTTTTTTTCCTTTTTCCCTTTTCTCTTCTGTACCCCTTGATATACCTCGTATTCTGTTTTATACAATGATGAAAAAATACGCTTAAATAAAACACATTGAAAAAAAAAAATCTTAGTAAGTCTGCATATATAAGTACACCCAGATACATAAGAATAATATGAAAAAATAAGATTTAAAAACCGAAAAACAAAGTCCGAGTATCAAAGAAGTAATTGCCAGTGTTAACTGGACTAAAGGATCCAAATTCAAATAAAGAACTGTCTACTATTGTGATACTATTATAGTTTGTCAAAATTATTCAGTTTAAATTAATCAGACTTTGTAAATATGAGCATCTGCTAGTATACTTCGTGCAGAATGCTTTTTGATAAGTTGATCGTAGATCAAAATTAAATAACCAGCTTGAAATAAAAGCAGTCAATTGTTGTGATGCTGTTGCAATTTATCAAAAATAATTATGTTATAATTGATAACGATATTTCAACTAAGAAAGCAACTGTGACCCTAGTTTGTAAAAAATACTTAGTTGCAATCTAACCATAAACGCTCTAATAATATGACAGTACAAAGGCTCTGTCAAATTTTGCTGTTCGGCTTGTAGTTGAAACAAACAAATATATAACAGAATTCCATGCAGAATAGTATTTTTTAGGAGTAAGCAGTTTCTTAACACCCCAGAATAAATATAGTCAGAAAGTAAAGAAATATCTGTGCCTTCGAGGGCACCTATCAGATAAAGAAACTAACTGCAAGTGGAAAAGAAAAAGAAAGGAATAATATCTCTATCCTTAATAAATAATTCTGCCCTAATGGACACCTTGTAGGTAGGTATTACAAACTTGTACATATACCTAGCTAACATTTAAATATAAGAGAGCCTGAATCCGTATACTGTAAAGTGTGATGAGCGGTCACTACAATGCGAGCGTTCATAGCCTCAAATAATATGAGCGGCTGGATTATTTAATCACCCTCCCCAAATACCCAATGTCTAAATAGTTCTGAACCAAAATGTAAAATTAAAGATTAGTTCCTGCAAGTGCAGGGTATTACAAATGTTTAGGAGGGATCTGAAAAACACCA